GCCCCTTGGGGCGCCTCTCGGGACATGGTCCTTGGGGCTACCAGGTGCCTCAGGCGGCAGGGTCGGGCATCATCTTGCAGGTCTTGTTCTTAGCCGGGCAAGTCCCTCGACAGTCGGCCCTGATCAGTGGGTCGACCCTGCCAAATCAAGGGCGCCCTTGCGTCCTGTGCCTCGCGACCCATGCGTCCTGTTTTCCTACGGCGTTGTGGCCCTCGGAAGGGAATCGTGTCCTGTCGCGTGTCCAGCCCAATCAAGTCCGACTGCACAGGAGGACAATTCAAGAATGGCACAAGAATATTCCGGGGACGATTCTTCTAGTATTTCTTATGGCCTCGAGGGCAAAACACGTGCCAACAGCACGCGGCATCGCGATCGTTTTCTTTTTTTAGTGGCCTCCGGCCAGCGCCGCCGATCGGGGGCGCTCCGGGTGCCTGTGGAAATGAATGGCGACGAGGAAGACGAAAACGACGACGAAAACGAATACGTCGACGACGACGACGACGAGAGCGACGACGACAACGACCACGACGACGACGACGACGACGACGGCGATGACGACGACGACGACGCGAGCGACGACGACGACGACGACGACGATGACGCGAGCGACGACGACGACGGCGACGACGACGACGACGACGACGACGACGACGACGACGACGACGACGACGACGACGACGCGACGACAACGACGACGACGACGACGACGACGACGACGGGGGGGGAGCTGGGTTGCAGGGGGGGGGGTCTGCTCTGCAGGGGGGTCCGCTCGGCAGAGGGAGGGACTGCAGGGGAGAGGGGGGGTCCGCTCTGCAGGGGGGGGGGGCTGCAGGAGGGGGGGTCTGCTCTGCAGGGGGGGGGGGCAGGGGAGGGGGGGGGGTCCGCTCTGCAGGGGGCGGGGGGCTGCAGGGGAAGGGTCCGCTCTGCAGGGGGGGGGGGGGGGCTGGGCTGCAGGGGGGGGGGGGGGTCCGCTCTGCAGGGGAGGGGGGTGCAGGGAAGGGGGGGGGGGTCTCTGCAGGGGGGGGTCCCTCTGGAAGGGGGGGGGGGCTGAATTAGGTCGGAAATGAGGTCCCCTCCGCAGAGCGAAGCTTGAGCGAGCTCAAGCCCACGCTCTCAGAAACTCACACGGCAGGGGGGGGGTCCGCTCTGGGGAGGGGGTGCAGGAGGGGGTCTGCTCTGCAGGGGGGGGGGGGTGCAGGGGTGGGGGGGGGTCCACTCTGCAGGGGGAGGGGCTCTGCAGGGGGAGGGTCCGCTCTGGAGGGGGGGGGGGGGTGCGAAGCACTGAATTAGGTCGGAAATGAGGTCCCCCCCCCGAAGAGCGAAGCTTGAGCGAGCTCAAGCCCACGCTCTCAGAAACTCACACGCCGGACGCGGCATCGCGATCGTTTTCTGATTCATTGTTTTGCCGATCGGCGCGGGCCCCCGACCCCCCCTGGCCCCCCCCCCCTGGTGTAGATGTTGGCTGTGTGTGGCGCCTGTTTCGAGCAGGTGGAGTCTCTTCCATGGGGCGCACTGTCGCAAACAGTCGCACTAAGCAGAGGCCCGCAGCCACACACCCCACCGCGCGGTTTTGTTTCTCGTCGACGTTGCTCAATACGCGGCGGGAATAGGACGCAGCTCATATCGCGCGCTGAACGCCTATCCGGCCACGATACTAGATGCGCGACAGGCGTCGGACGCGACGCACTTGTTTTTTTATGTTGTGGGGGGGCGGGTAGGAGTGGACGGAGCCCTCTGGCTCGTTCGAGCTGGATAAATTGACCCCACCCCCACCGCCCCCCCGTCCGCCCAACGTCGAAACGCCGAACAAGAAAACGCATACATTTTGCCACACCTCAGCGTGCTGGGGGGGGGGGCGCGGTGGCGGGAGTGGCCCGAGCTCGAGCGTGCCAGAGGCCGGCCATGGGCCTCGGGAGAGGCCGAGAGGCTCAGGACCCCTGCGGGGGCCAGGGAGGCAGCAACCCTCCAGGGAGGACCAACAACTTCCTTCCTCCTCCTTTTCCTCCTCCTCCTCCTCCTCCTCTTCCTCCTCCTTTTCCTCCTCCCTCTCCCCCTCCCCTTCCTCCTCCTCCTCCTCCTCCTCCTCCTCCTCCCTCCTCCTCTCCCTCCTCCTCCTCCTCCTCCTCCTCCTCCTCCTCCTCCTCCTCCTCCTCCTCCTCCGCCTCCTCCTCCTCCTCCTCCTCCTCTCGCGGCACCCTCAATGTGGCAATGTGGACCGTAAAGTCGACCATTGGCCCCTCTCGGGGCAAGTCTCTTCGGGGCTCGCCAGGCTCACGAGCCCCCGCATGCGCCGGGCCGTTCGGCGTTGCCTGACCCCGCGCAAAGACCCAGTGTAGGTCGAGGGCCTCCTCCACCTCCTCCTCCCCCGCCCCCTCCTCCTCCTCCTCCTCCTCCTCCTCCTCCTCCTCCTCCTCCTCCTCCTCCTCCTCCTCCTCTTCCTCCTCAAACCTCACTACGTGAGAAGGAAAACTGATGGAAAACTCCTCCTCCTCCTCCTCCTCAATATCAATTCCTGTTCCTTACCTGTACGACCACCCTTCGGGTGATAAGGAGATTGTGGATGGGGGAGGGGGGGGAATCAACATCTGACTCAATAGATCTCACGGTCGATCTCACCCAACGGGACATCATGGGCCTCTTGTCGATCTCACTATCGATCTCACTATCGATCTCCCTCAACGGTTCACTACGGGACACCACGGGCCACCACGGGACACCTCGGGACACCGCGGGACACTTCTCGATCTCACTATCGGTCTCACTATCGATCTCACTATCGATCTCACTATCGATCTCACTCAACGGGACACCCCGGGACACTTGTCGATCTCACTATCGATCTCACTATCGATCTCACTCAACGGGACACCACGGGACACCCCGGGACACGTTTCGATCTCACTATCGATCTCATTATCGATCTCACTCAACGGGGCATCACGGGACACCACGGGACACCTCGGGGCACCACATCGATCTCAGTATCGATCTCACCATCGAACTCCTTCAACGGGACACCACGGGACTTTTGTCGATATCACCATCGATCTCACTTTTTGGGACACCACGGGACACCTCGGGGCACCACATCGATCTCAATATCGATTTTAGTATCGATCTCACAATCGATCTCATTATCGATCTCACTATCGATCTCACTATCGATCTCACTCAACGTGACAGCACGGGACACCGCGGGACTTCGCGAGCCACCGCCAGACCGACGGACGGATGGGCGGGCGGGAGAGAATCATTTGTCTTGACTTCGCCCTAGCAACGTGACACCACGGGACACCTCGGGGCGCCGCATCGATCTCAGTATCGATCTTAGTATCGATCTCACTATCGATCTCATTATCGATCTCACTATCGATCTCACTATCGATCTCACAATCGATCTCACTCAACGTGGCACCACGGCGCACCGCGGGCTACCGCCAGACGGGCGGGAGGGGGAGAATCATTTGTCTTGACTTCGCCCTAGAAACGGCGGACACCACGGGACACCACGGACACCGCGGGACACCGCTGGCCACCGCCGGACGGGCGGGAGGGGGATAATCATTTGTTGTTTCCTCGCCCTAGCAACGGCGGGTTCATTCCTCTCGCGCGCCCACGCAGCTTCGCCTCGCCCGCACGCACGACACGAACGAAACGAAAAGATTTCCGGGTCGGGGGTCTCCGATCCGCTGCGATTTCACCCCCCAACCTCCGATAGATAATTCATCCCTGTCGCATTCCGAGGCCGTTCGAAAGAGCGTGCTGGGCGTTTCGTTTGTGCCTCATCACTTCTGACCTTGAAGCTCAAACATGACAGCAGTTTCACACATGGAGGGCGGGTCGTTTTCAATCTGTGGCTCTCGCCTCAGCGCCACGCACATTCTCTTTGGAACAATTGCAAGAGTTTCACGGATTGAGGGCGAGCGGTTTTCCAAATGTGGCTCTCGCCTTAGCGCCGCGCACATTCGGCTTAAACATTTGCAAGAGTTTCACGGATTGAGCGGGGTTCGTTTTCAAAGTATGGTCTTCGCTTTAGCGCCGCGCACAATCGTTTTAAACATTTGACAGGGTATCATTGGTTCCTAGGGTCAACGTGCCAGAAATTGTGATTTTGGATTGTGAGGTGCAACAGTTACCTTGATTCGCGGTGCTGAAGCCCCAGAAATGGTGTTCTGGCACGATTCAGCATCGTCAAGAAGCAACAGTCAGGTTGTTATGTGGCGCTGGAGTCTCAATAAGTGTGTTTTGACATGCTTCTGGGTCCTCAAACGCTTGTCTCCCAACGAGGTACGTCTTTAAATAAAGATGAACCCATGTAGGGGCCTATGAAGAGAAAGTTTAGAGGGAGGGTCTCTTCCAACATCGTTGATGAGTCTTGGGTTTAGACTGGTCCTCGACCCCCCTCCTCCTCCCACTCCTCCTCTCACTCCTCCTCCTCCTGCTCCTCCTCCTCCTCCACCTCCCCACCCTCCTGGCTCCCACGACCTAGTGTTTGCTGATCGCCTTCCACTCGTGTGCTCGGAGGTTCCATCGCGGCGTGGGCCAGCGTGGCATGGTTGAGAGACAGACCTTCAGCACGCCCAGGACGGCGTCCGTCAGTTCTCGGCCCCGTACCAGCACACGCACATTGTATACCAGCTTGAGTTTTGATCCGAGAGTTCTCGCCAGTACCTCGGGTTTCCCAGTGTGCCAGAGCCCTTTGTGGGGGATCCCTAGCCCGAACGGGCTCTTCGAAGGGCCGACTCCCACACCGCAAGTTATGCCCTCCCACACGGTTCGAGACTGTTCGACGGCGCCTCCCGGAGGAGATTCGCCGCGGCTGCCGAGGGGGAGCGGGGCGGTCGTTGAGGGAGCGCGGCTGCCGAGGCAGCCTCAGGATCCAGGCCTCCCAAATGGAGCTGGAGCGGATGGGGTCGGAGGATGGTGCCGCATCGCTGAGGCATCGGCGATGCGGCTCGATGTGGAGCCCGCTTTTCTCTAAGCCGACGACGCCAATGCATCGGCGACTCATTGGTGAAGCGGCGTGATACTTCGACTCTATCTACTCGAACCCGATCTGGCAGACCTTCACAGGAACGGGCGATCCTCGGGAAGCCCCCTTAGGGGGCGGGGCGCTCCAGAGGAGGAGGAGGTGGCTGCGGCACGAGCGCAGCTTTCGGGTGGTCGCCACATGGAGGTCGCCCTCGCTACCTGGAGTTCGCCTGGCATCCCGAGTGCATCGGGCTGCCAGCGTGGGCGGTGGCACGGATGTGATCGCCCCGCCCTGCAGCCTCCACATACGGCTAAGGACATCAGGGTTATGATGCTCCAACCTACTTTGGCCTTGATCACCAGGAATAATTGCGAGCGCCCAAAAAATACCGAAACGCAAGGGTTTTCATGTGTCGGGCCCTGGGAGACGCGCGCCCGACACTGTTTCGACACCGTTTCGACACTCGTTTGACACTTTTCCGGATGCTCGACATTATTTCTGGGATGCGGTCCTTAAGTAGGACGGGAACAACAGAACATCAGGGTTTAATGTTACTCCACCTCGTGCCGTCCTCCCTTCTCCATTCGCTTGTGGTCTTTCTTCATTGTAGGGACCTCACTCACAGTTGCGGCACGTCGCTCGGTCTTTCGGGCTTGGTAGGCTGGTCGACTGTACTGGTTGTAATATGTATGTGTATAGTGGTAACGGCCGCACATGTTCTCCCACTCTGGGGCAGGAGGGTATTCGTAAGCAGTCGGTATGGGTCTTGGGAAGCTTCTGGGCAGTTCTGGGCTGCGTCCTCGTCATCTGACTTTGATGTTCGCTAGCGCTGTATTCTCTTCTCCCTAGAATGGAGAGTATGTCCTGCCACCCCCCAGGGACAGCTCAGCTGAAGTTCGACCACGTGCGAGGAGCTGGCCAGATTCATCGCAGCGCGCGTCGAATTCTTCACGCGCGCTGTCTGCATTGGCCTCCCCGAGATCGATGCTGGGCTCGACTGGAGCTGGACAAGGCGTATGCCCCGCCATTTCATCACGTATCTAGTCTTATGAAGCCCGTTACCATGCATCGCATTCTTGAGTTGATCGCATGCCAGGCTTGGGAAGGGCGTCGATGGGGATGCCGATGGGGCTCGTGGGTCCTGTGGCTTTGACCTGCACATGCGCATCTATCTAAACCTCCTCATACTTATGGGTGTCAATATGTATGTTTGTAAACATAGAATGTTTACATATATGTATGTATGTATGCGTGTATGTATCTATAAGTGGCCGTCAGCCCATCCCGCCACCGTGCGGGGGCCTCTTGGAGGTAGTTTGGACGCCCCTTGAGGGGCTGTTTTGAGGCCGGGACTCTTGGTGCCTCTTTTTGGTTTCTTAGTGTTTCTTGGGGACATCTTGGGAGTTTCTTGGGGGCATCTTGGGGGCCTCTTGAGGCCTTTGGGGTGCCTCTTGATGCCTTCGAGGGCCTCTTGGGCCGCGTTGGGGCAGTCTTGGGGGCATCTAGGGCCGTCTGAGAGCGCCGGGAAGCCGAAAAGGCAAGAACGCCAACAATCGTTCAACCATCAAAGGAAAATCAACGAGTTTGGCTTTTTGGGGCCTCTTTGGGCGTCTTGGAGGCCTCTTGGGCCGTCTGGGGGCCATGCTCAGCGTCTTGGAGCAATCTTTCGGCGACTCCTGGCTCTCTTGGACCATCTTCGGGGCCTCTTGGAGCTGTCTTGGCTCGTCTTGGGGCCCTCTTAGGCCCGACACCGTCATGCGACAAGAGGCGGGCCGTCCCAGAAGATTCGGCCCGAGAGGCTCCGAACCCTTTAAGACTCCTGAGGAGTGAAGACTGAGGCTCAGAGGGGTAGTGGAAGCGCCTGAGGGCACGCCCACTCCGTGCCCAGCGGCACGGTAGCGGACACACACACAACAAAACACACACGCACACACATGTACACACATATATATATAGACAGATATACATATACATACACATAGCTGTATATATTTACATATATATGTATATATATATATATATAAATATATATATGTGTGTGTGTGCGTGTGTGTGTGTCTGTTTGTCTGTCTGTCGGTCTCCTGTCTGAGTGTGTCTGTCTCTCTGTCTGTCCGTCTGTCTGCCTGCCTGCCTGTCTGTCTGTCTGTCTGTATGTCTGTCCCGTGTGTATGCATGTATGCAAGGATCTAATCGCCTTCCGCGCACTCGGTCACCGTGCCTGGGTTGTGGGGGAAAGGTCTGTTGAATGTTTGTTGGGATCTCGTGTGGGGACTCGGGGGCCTTCTGGAGGCAGTTTGACTTTATGGTGGGGCTGCTTGGGGGCCTGTTGGGGCTGCTTTTGAGGCCTCCCTGGGGGCCTCGTGAAGGCCTCTTGGGGCCTCCTGGGGGCCTCTCGGGGTCGAGGGCTCGAACAGTCCGTTCGGATCCCCTGTCTGGGCCCCCTTTTGGAACTGTCTTTGGGACCTTTTCGGCGCCCCTCAACATATTTATACAATGTGTGCGTCGCCCCCCCAGGGGCGGCGCGCGCACCGAGAAACCTCGTAGTGTATGCGTCGTGGCGCGCGCTGTCTGGCCACAATGCTCGGGAAGCCATATAAACATATATACACTAAAAGATGAGTATACTATATGTTCGGGTCGGGCGGGCGCCTCCAAGGAGAACATCTAGTACTAGTATGTCTCTACGCGCCCCACTTTTGGGCAGGCTTGGAGGTATCGTGAGAGGTCTTCTGGCCTTTGGGGCGGTCTTGGGGCCCTCGTGGGCCGTCTTGGGGCGATCCTGGGGACCTCGAAGGCCGTCTTGGAGCGTCGGGAAGCCGAAACGGCGACTTTTGCCTCTTGGGGCCCCCTAGGGAGGCCTCCTGGGGGCCTCTTAGGGCGTCCGGGGAGCAACTTGGGCCATCGTGAGACCGTCTTGACGCCATGACGCTTCGCGTATCCCCACCAGTCCATCCAGAAACGGTGCCCATGAGAGCTGACGGGGGGAGAGAGGAAGAGCCACGCATAGTCAAACAGCGAGTGAGGCTTGGGAGGCTCCGTGGCCATCTCGAGCCGTCTTGGCGCGGTCTTGGGGCCGCTTGGAGCATCCTGGGAGCGATCTTGAGCCAGCTTGAGCTATCTAAGCCATCTTGGAGGTCATCTTGGGCTCTCTGAGGCCGCTCGGGGGCCTCTTGGGGGCCTCTCGGGTGCCTCTTGGAGCCCTCTTGGGGCGCTCTTGGAGCCCTCTTGGGGGCCTCTTGGGACGCCTCATGGGGCCATCTTGGGAGGCGGTCGGTCAAAAGAGGGGGGGTACTAAATGTAGCTCTCCCCCTCGGGGGCCACGATCCTTGTGAGGGGTGTCAGAAATTGGCCCTCCTAGGGGCCGCCAGATCTCAGAGGTTCTCGACTCATCCTCGCCCGAAGTTGTCCTCATCCTGGCCTCGTCTTACCTCGGGATCCGGGGGGCCGCTTCCTGGCCCCGAGGCCGTTACCGTCGACGCGCGCATGGTAAGGATGGACACTTGCTCCAGGGGCACCCTTGCATCCCTGCCTCCTCGGTCCATCCTCGGCCCCGCTCGAGAAGCTCCGAAAAGGGGCGCCCAAGGCCCCCGCATCCCTATCGCGCATCCTCATCATGCGCGTTGGCTGTACGCAGTGGATGCCCCCGGGGAGAGGGCAAGAGAGCACAGCTCCCCCAGCCGGCTGTGTCCCCGTCTCCCTATCCACCTCGCCCCTGCCCTCCCCCCTCGCCATCACGGAGCGAGGAGGAGGAGGAGGAGGAGCAGGAGGAGCAGGAGGAGCAGGAGTTGGAGAAGGAGGAGGAGTTGGAGGAGGAGGAGGAGGAGGAGGAGGAGGAGGAGGAGGAGGAGAAGGAGGAGAAGGAGGAGGAGGAGGAGGAGGAGGAGTTGGAGGAGGAGAGAGGAGGAGGAGGAGGGAGGAGGAGGAGGGAGAGATGGTTTTGTCGGTGCCACGGTTTGCCCAAGGCTTCCCGCGCAGGCCACGAGACCACGTGCTTCCCAGGGCCGTTGCCTGGCCCCGGGCCAAGGGGCCCAGGGGCAGGCCGCGACAAGGGGGGGGGGGGGCGCCGCCGCGGAGGGTGCCGCTTCCCGGCGCGGGTGGGCCCCCTCCTCTCCTTCCTCCTCCTCCTCCTCCTCCTCCTCCTCCTCCTCGTCCTCCTCCCCTCCTCCCTCGTTCTCCTCCTCCTCCTCCTCCTCCTCCATTCCTTCTCCTTATAGAGAACTCCTCCCTGTCGCACCCCGAGGCCAGTTTTTAGGGCGGGCCGGCATCGCTCGGCCGCGTGCCTTGTGTCACCGAGCGCGTTGCTCGCAAACGTTCGAACACAGATGGTCGCTTCGTCGTCGTTTTCCCATTCATTGTTTTGCCGATCGGCGCGGCCTGTCGCTCCCCCCTTCCCCCCCCACACGGAGTAGATCTTGGCTGTGTTTGGTACCTGTTTCAATCAGGTTGAGTATGCACGGGGGCCCCGCCTCCCCATAGGATTCCCCATGGGATCACTGTTCCAAGCAGTCGCACTAAGCAGAGGTGCTGAGCTAGACTCCCCCCTGCCCCCCCCCCCTTCCGCCCAAGGTCGAAATGCCGAGTAAGAAACGCTCATCTCGATATAAAGGATCGTAATGCCCTCACGGCGGATCCAGGGCATTTGCGAGTAGCTATTTTGCGAGTAGTGGAACGCGCTGGTCTGTTCTGTCTCGGCGATGACCATCGAGGGGCATCCAGGATCATCTGGCAGAACATCGACGAAGCAACAAACTGCATAAACACGAGCTTTTGGCGCTCCGCGCGGATTTCTTGGAGCCGCGCTGGCCCCTCACGGCGGCGCCTCGGGCGCCGCCCCTGGCGAGCTCCGCGCGCCAGGGAGAGGGATCCAGCGCAGATCCACGAAATCCGTGCGGACCGCCAAAAGTTTATGTTTGTGCAGTTTTTGTTGCTTATATTTTCTCGGCGGGGACCATCGAGGGGCGTCCAGGGTCACCTGGCCAAAAAAGCACGCACGCATGAAACCAACACAAAAATGCATGGGGAGTGGATGCCCGAGCGAGGGGCCAGCGCGTGGTGCTCCCGAGGAGGACCTGGAGAAGTTCCGCCCCGCGCCACCGCCAAGGAGGACCTGGAGAAGTTTCGCCCCGCGCCACCGGACGGCCTCGCGGAGGACCCGGAGAAGTTTCACCTCGTGCAACCGGACGGCCTCGTGGAGGACCCGGAGAAGTTTCACCTCGCGAATCTGGACGGCCTTGTGGAGGCTGCCATGGGGAACCTCGAAACGGGGGTCAGTGCAAACGGGGGTCAGCCAGAGCGCCGGATGTTGCAGGATTTTGCAGAGCCAAGGGCGCACTGACCCAGGTTTGGGTGCAGGATCTTGCAGGATCTTGCAGTTACCAGCCCGAGACATATTCTTATCCCTGAGATAGGCTTCGCCTCATTTCGGTGCCGATCGTGAGGAATCGCCCGATTTCTGCAGAAGGCACACCCCTAAGATTGTCATCGCACTGGGCCTGACGATCAGAAGGATAGGACATGATGTCGAGGCGGGTTAGCTGGAGCTGCGGCTGTGGTCTGAGCCACGGCTCTAGCTGTGGCTCCCTGAGCCGTGGAGACGCCGCCGCCGTTGCGGCGCTTGTCGACCGACAGTCTTGGGCTGTGGCTCGCAATTGAGATCCGTCTGGTGCGCCAGCGTTCCGGGATGTCCGCGTCTGCCGTCTGCACCCACTTCCTCACCGAAGCCCAGCTCCCGTCATTTCGCCTCACGCCCCTCCCGGACTCCCCCCCCCCTACCCTCCCAACCTCTGCCCCGCTTTGCTTGTCCCCATGTCCACTTCTCCCTGTCCGCCTCGCCCCTGTCCTCCCCCCTCCCCATCACGGAGCGTGGAGACGGTTTTGTCGTGGCCACGGTTCGCCCAGAGCTTCCGCGCAAGTCACGGGCCCATGAATCGGCGGTGGACAGACCTCCCTTTAGTAAACCTCCTCTTAGTGAAAAGCGCCTGGGACCGAAACCGACGGACCTGGACCCGCAAAAATGACGGCCGCGACGCCCCCTCGCGAACCGAAAACGGCCAATTCCTTAATCGACGTATCAGGGTAGGAGGTCTGTCCAACCCCGAATGAACTTTCTCAGCTCCCCATGTCTTTGCCCCAGCGTCCTGCCGCCTCCCACATCGAGCCATCCCAAATACGGCCGGCCCGAGGTAGAAGATCGAGGTCTGCTCGGGGAGGGAGGGTACCCTTGTGTCGTTCGTGTCTGCTGGATGCTCTTGTGCACCCTGGGGGAGGGTACTCCAGATTTCGTAATAAAGGGAGGGGGGTCTCATTTCGGGGGGGGGTCTCTTCCAGGCTATCTTGGAGGGCCTGGGGGGTCTGGGGACGATGTTTTGGAGGGTTCTCCACCGGGGGAGGTCTGAAATGGCTTGTCTTGGAGGGTCCAGACCCCCTCCCTTTTATTACGAAATCTGGAGTACCCTCGAGTGTTCTTGAGTCTGGCTGGCGGAGGGTCTCGTGTTCTGGAAGGGTGCTCTTCTGTCCCAGGTCCAGCCGCAGTTACTTCGGGGCCTCCCTGGCGGCCACCAGGGCTGGGCCTAAACGCTGTCTTGCTGGACTTCGGCTGTGTCTTGTTTTTCGTGCTGGCAGGGAGGTTCAAGTCGGGAATAGCCACAACCCCAGGTAAGGGGACCCGGTGAGTGGTAGGACCCGGGAGCCATTGAATCGGCCAGAATCACTAAAACAGGTCTGCCGTAGCTGGTCTTTTTTCGGGTGACGGCAATTCCGGTCAGTGGAAGGGGACGGGGGGGGGGCGTCCTTGGTACAGATCCCTAAACCAGGTTCCACTAGACCCAGTTCTGCCAACGCCCCGACAGGAAAACAGGCAGAGCAGAACAAACAGCAAAGCGAAAAGCAGCGCTTCGGTCCAGCCCTGTCGAAGACTGCGCGTGCGGAGCACGTCCTGCCCTCCGCCCCTTCTCGGCCCGCAGGCTCCGCCGGCCCGGAGCCCGAGCTTCGACGCGGACGCGCTGCCGAGGCTGCCCTGCCAGCGACGCGCTCCCAAATGACTCGCACCAGGACGCCTCGGTGGGCCTATTCGTACGTCGGGCCTGTCCCTCTACAGGAGGAGTCTTCAGAAATAGTCAGAACATCTATGGGGACTATGTGGTCGACTAGTTTTGACCATTTGGGGGGTATTGTTGGGATCTGCTTATTGTTTCGCCCAAGATCCCCCTGTAGGGGGACAGGCCCGACCTGAACCTGTTCTTCAGTACCGATTAACCGATTCCAATCCACATCCCCATCCCTATCCCGATCCCCACCATCCCACCACCCCAGTTGGGGATATGCCCCTGGGAGCCCGAAGGGAGCCGCCTGTATCCCCATCTCGGGGGTAGATCGGCCAGTAAGGCCCAGGCCACGCCAGTGGGGATAGGGATGGGTTAAACGATGCTCAGTTCGTCGATCGAAGCTCACTCTCGGCCACGCGCAGGGGGGGGATGGGGGAGGGGGGAAGGCTTCTTAGACGCACCCCTGCTTCTCAGAAGGCGCGGGCCTCGTGCCTGCAGATGTAGGGCCAGCGCCGTCTAAGAGGCAGCTTCTTTCTAAGTAGCCTTCCCCCCTTGCCCTATCCCCTTGTGTGCTCTGCCAAAGATGACTCGCACCAGGCCGCCTTGGTGGACATATTCTTCGATCGAAGCTCAGTCTCCCCTCGGGTCAGCAGATCTGCAGCGGGTTTGGCTACTCCGATTGTCGTAATACAATGGAGGGGTCACAACCCTCCCAGACGAGCACTGTTAGACCACCCCCAAACCAACTGTAAAAGGGCGGCCTCTTGTCCAGACCCCCCAGAGACCTCCAAGGCAGCTCAAATCAGACCTCCCTCCATAATCAGACCACCCCCCCTTCATTACGAAATCCAGAGTAACCAACGCGGCATCCGCTGTCTTGGCTTCCAGAATTGTGTCCTTTCTATCGGAGGTGAGCGAGGGGGGAAATGAGAAGGAGAAGGCCTTCTCAGAAGGTGGCGGGACTTTCCAGAAGCCCTCGCGCCGTCTCTCCGAGGGAGGCTTGGAAAACTTTTCAGAAGGCCGGGGAATTCCGAGCCTTTGAGAAGGCCCGCCCCTTCTCACTTCCCCTCTCGCTCGCCGCCCCGATTCTAGCTGCGGTGATCTTGCAGCTCATGACCTCCGGCTCGAGGGCTGCTCTGTTTTCAGCTCCGCCCTGTGCGGTGGCGGATGGGCACGTCGAGGGGGAGGCAGGACGCTGAAACAGTTGCCTTTTTGGGGCTCAGGGGATCGTTTTCTTGGCATCGCTCGGACATGTGCATTTTTTTCCTCGGCGAGGACCATCGAGGAGCATCCTTGACCATTTGGAGAAAAAAACCACGCACGAAACCGAAAAAAACACAGGGAATGGACGTCCGAGCGATGGCGAGTTGCCTTTCTGGGGCTCAGGTGATCGTTTTCTTATTCCTCGTTTTTTTGTGACGAGCGGCGCGGGCCCTTCCTCCACTCCACCAAAAAACTGTTTTGGGGGGCCCGTGTCGAGCAGGCTGTGTCTCCCGCAGAGGACGCACGGCTCCAGGCAGCTGCACCAAGCAGAGGTCCAGGGCCAGACCCTCCCATCCCCCCCCCTCAGACCCTCCCATCCCCCCCCCCTCTTCCGCCCCATGCCGAAACGCCGGATGAGCAAGCGTTCGCATGTTCTGATCCAGGTTGGGGAATCTGCTCGTGGCCGAGGCTCGCCGTGGCCAGAAGCAACAATCCTGAATTCTTTGTTCGGCATCCTTTCTGGTAACACGATGGCTGTATGCCACTGCCAATTTAGGATACACCCTGCGGTGGCCTGTGGATGCCATGCCAGCTACTGGCGAACCTGAACCAAGAGCGTCTAACTGAGTCCGCAAACTGTCGATGGTGTGAGTAAACTTTGGGCTGCGTCACACATACAGTACGTTCGATATGATGACCAGATTTGGGTGTTCGACCACGAACGGTACCTCTGAGCTTTACGCGGTTCAAAGTCCAACAAAATTACAATTGAGGATTCAGCCCGCGTGCTTTCACAGCTCTGCCTTTGCAATTGCGGTGCAGCCCGTGTCGGCAAGTGCGCTTGCGAAGGCACCTTAGCAGCACTGTTGCGTTGGCTGGCTGCACAGTCGGGGCCCTGAAGAAGGAACCCTTTTCGTTGGGGAGGGGCTCCGCGTTCCTTAAGTGTTTCGCAGCTTGCCTCAGGTTTTTCCTTAAGTTTTCGATCGGAAATCGATGTTTAACTTATGGAAAAAGGGGCCTCGTTCCTTATTTTGGGTTCCTTATGTCAACGCCCCGACTGTATTGCTGCGCGACTTCTGGGTCGCACGCCGAGGGCGTGGAAGTGCGGTCTGGGCCTGCATGTGCTTCCCAGTGGGCTCTGTGGGGTGCTCCTGCGCGCCTGGAAAAGGGGGGTGGCTGGACGCAGTCGAGAGGAGGAGGAGGAGGAGGAGGAGGAGGAGGAGGAGGAGGAGGAGGAGGCCTCCTTGGGGCCCGCTGGTGGCACCTCTCGGGTCTTCGGCGCCTCCCTGCTCGCCAGGAGCAGGCTGGGGGCCTTCCGCGGGCCCTCCGTTTCTGAGGGCGCGTCCCTAAGATTGTCGTCGGTTTTGGGCTTGTGAATCTCAGGGATGGGGATACGTTCGAGGCTGGTTCGGTGGCTGGACGCAGTCGAAGGCCTCTTTGGGGGCCTGCCGGTGGCACCTCCCGGGCCCCTCGGCGCCTCCCTGCTCGCCAGGAGCGGGCCGGGGGCCTCCCGCGGGGCCGGCCCGCGGCCACGACACCGAAAAGCATGGAGCAGCTCGGGTCCGGCAGGGGCTCGCTGGTCCTGGGGTGCGGGTCGGGGGCGGAGAAGAGGGGGGTGATGACTAGCGGGGGGGGGTCACGATGTTTCCCCAGATTTCATGGCGCCTCTTCTCATTTCATTACGTCCCTGGCCCCCCCGCTGGGCCGCGCACATGCCGCCGGTCACGATTTTTGAACCCCCCCCTCTTGGACACCCCCCTCTTGGCCGCTCCCGAGCGGGAGGGGAGCCTCGGGCACCCACTGCCAGTCAGTCAGTCGGCCAAGCCAGGCCCCCGGCGACGGCGCCTCGGCAAGCATCGTCGGCAGGAGCGCAGCCGTGCACCCACTGGGCGCGAATGAACGGGGGGCCGGCACAATGGGGGGGGCAGCGAGGGCCGCAGAGCAGGGCCCCTAACGGGCCCGCCAGGGCCCCCAGACAGCATGGGGCCGTCTCGGGCCGCTTCGGGTCGGTTCGGCAGCGGGTTGGTTCGGCCAGAGCGGTGCGGGTTCGGCGCCACTTCGGCCCGAGCGGGTTCGGTTTTGCCTCGGGACGGTTCGGTTTTGGGCGGTCCGATTCGGGTGATCGAGAGGTTGGCTTTCTGGAGGGGCATGGGGGTCAGAAGTCCAGGTCCGGACCTCAGGGCCGGAACTCAGGTCTGGGCCCCAGTTCCGGACCTCAGGTCCGGAGGCCCGAAAGCGGCTCGCCGTTGCCTTCCGTCAGGGTGCCGCCTCCGAGCTTTCTGGGGGGGGGGCCTCTTGGGGCCCTCTGGGAGCGCCCTGGCGCAGCTCTCTTGGGCCGTTTCGATGGGGTCCTAACAGGGCCCCAACGGAAGCTGCAACGCAGCCCTCTGTTGTAGCATCCGTTGGGGGGCGTCTCGGAGCTCTCTGGGGAGCCTCTGGACGGGCCTGTTTGGGCCGTCCTGGAGCCCTCGTGGTCTGTCCTGGAGCCCTCCTGCAGCCGTCGGCTGCTGGAACTTTACGGAGCCCATCTTGGGGCCCTCTTGGGCCGTCCTGGAGGCCTCTTTGGCAGGCCGGCTCGGCTCCCCCAGTTCGGGTTGACCCTTCGGACCGGTTTCGATCGGCGGGTTCGGTTCGAATCAGCCGATTCAGTTTCGGCCAGTCCTGTTTGGGCTCCGGTTTGGGCGGTTCGGTTGCAGGAGCCGCCGGCTCACGGTTACCAGTGCGGTGTTAACCTTTTTCCTTTTCTTGCCCAGGGAAGGGGAGCGCTTTGGGGCCCGAGGAGGGCACCTTGCCCCCCTCTCCATTTAAGTCGGGTCTGTCGCCCTACAGAAAACATACCCCAAAAAGGTCAAAACATATGTCAAAAATACTCCCCATACTATTTTTGGGCTGTTTTTTGATTATTGTTGGGGTACTTTTAATGTTTATTTTTATGTTTCGTAAAACATCCCCCTGTAGGGGGACAGGCCCGACTTAACTCTACATGCATTATCGCCCCCACAAATCCGCGCTCAAACACAGGCGTGCTGGGACCAAGCGGGCTTCGTTCCCTATCTGGTGGCCCGCACATCACGCTGTTATTTCCAGGGGGTCATCCTCAAACTTGCAGCTGTCGTCACTATCGGCTCCCCAGGCCTGAATATTGAGGAGGTCTAAAGCGGGAGCATCGTCCGCAAGTGAATCGCGAGGAAGTCTTGAGCGGGAGCCCCTCATGAGGTCCCCACCTCCATGTTCAAATCCGAGCGTGTCATTGAAACCTGTAACTGTCGTCACTTTTGGGCTCCTCGGGCCTGAATCTGAAGGAGATGTCGAGCGGGGGCGTTGTCTGCGAGCAATTCGCGAGGCAGTCTCGAGCGACAACCGCTCCCTATTGAGTCCCCACCTCCGATGTTCGAATCCGAGCGTGTCATCTGAAACTCTGGGAACTGTCGTCGCGTCTGGGCTCCTCCGGCTTGAATGTGGAGGACATCCCGAGTGGGGGCATCGTCTGCGAGCGAGTCGGAAGGAAGCATCGAGCGGGAACCCCTCCCTGTGGGGTCCCCACCTCCATATGTTCGACAAGAGGGTTGCGAGCTCCAGGGGTAAGGTGGAGATCGCGGTAGAGCTAGGCTTCGCGCTGCCGCCCGCCTGAGCATGGCGGCGCCCAGCTCGAGGCCCGCGGGGTTGTCCCGACGGCCTGCTCCCGGGCCCCAGCGGCCTCGGAGTTGTCCCAACGGCCTGGCCCGCGGGGTTGCCCCAACGGCTTCGCGATCCGGCAATTGGAGAACGCGCGCATGCCAGCCGTGGTGGCGAGGGCGTCGGGGAAAATCGGCATGTCGTGCCCCGGCCAGAAGGAAGGACAGGGGCATGAGCAGAACCGTTGGGATGGAGAGGGAACAGGGGGATGTAGTGGAGGAAGAGGAAGAGGAGGAAAAGGACGAGGAGGAAAAGAGGAGGAGGAGGCAGGAGGAGGAGCAGGAGGCAGGAGGATGAGGCAGAAGGAAAAGGAGAAAACATGAGGGGGTAGGAGGAGGGAACAGTAGGATATCCGCCGCCAATCTGAATATCTTATCATGCAGGGTCCTACCGTCGCAGTAATTGGCTGTTCTCTCCCACGCCGTAATCTTATCCCCACACCCAGAGTGTGGTTATCACTTTCGCTGGAGCTCCGCGCAGGGACAATTTTCCGCCACGTCACTATCCTCCTCCTCCTCCTCCTCCTCCTCCTCCTCCTCCTCCTCCTCATCATCATCATCATCATCATCATCATCATCATTATCTCCATCATCATCACCATCATCAT